ATTGCTAAATGAACTCTTCCTTCTTTTCCCTGCTTTTTCCAGCATGTTCAAATTCTGCCAAATCCTTTCACTATTCCTCTTTTGAAAAATCAGCATTTAATTGATCTTTTGTCTTCAACAATCCTCTTTCCACCGTCACACTTAAGTTACAGTGACAGTTGTTTTAAAATCAGAGGGTCTTATTTTCTATGAGTCTGACAGAAGCTGCAAATTTATTTCTCATTTTTTTTAATGGCAATATTGTACAACATTTAAAGGCTGAGTCTGAGGAGGATCAGAAAAAATATTACCTTACTTTGTCTTCATTCTGGTTTTTTACTTCCAAGTCAGAACAGCAGTTCCTTCTCTTCTAGGAATGGCTTTTGGCCCAAAAGTCATGTGGGAAATGAAATTACTGTAAATATGCATGTTGGAGGGTGTAACAATCATTGGCTCATAAGCAGCAGGGTGAGTGGAGCACTGCAGAGGAGGGTCTGCTTTACTCTCTCCTTCACCTTGAGCAATTTACACAGGCAGTGCATTGGCTTCTTCATCAAATGAGAGGACTTGGTGCTTGGAGATGTGATCCAAGAGATCTCACCCATGTCCTATTCCATCACCTCTGTGCCGCTCAGTTTGGACAGCAGTTTCCCCAGGGGAAGTGGCTGTCATTAGCCCACTGGCAGGGGCAGTCTCCACTGGAAGAATGGGCAGACTGATTTAATAAGTAACTTTCATTCCTATTGGGAGAGTCTGTCTTCTTTTTAATAATGTAACAAGGTCATTAAATTACATTTTGCTTAGCCTGTATAATTAGGGAGTTGATTAAGTGATGTTCACTTGGATCTTCAATGTGTGTTCAATTCCCAGAATAACACTTGTTGGTAGTTGCTATAAATGTGGGAAATGCAACCTCAGGCACCTGGAGAGCCCAAGGGGAGCACCTTGAAGACTGTAAGTGGTTCTTGGTCTCTATGTGAGAGTTTCATTGCTGGTGAGTACTGGAGACCACTGTTGGATTTGTATGCTGCACTCGTGAGCATCCTTGCTGAAGGAGCAGTCAGCAGTTACAACTGCCCTATTATCAGCTGATCTGCTGATAAGGCAGCAGCACATGTCTTGGCATTGGCAGACTTGCATTCATCTCAGGATGTTCTCTTCCTTTTTCGGATGATTGCTATAATCCAGCTGCCCCTCTATAGAGTACGCTCTTTGGTACTTACTATATTGAGGATGCCTCTGATTTTAGCAGCTAAATTTTATCAGAAAAGGGAGGGAAAGCTCATCAGTTGCACTGATCTTTTGGATTCAAGAGTAACATTGCTTTGTCTTGTCTTAGTGGATGTGGATGGTGGAAGGAGGAAGGAAGTCAAAGTAAGGAACTTGTGGCTGAGTTTGCTCAGAAGCTGGTGGCCAAACTGTGGGGAGAGAAATGTGGAAATGGGTGTGTGCCTGGGTGTAGCAACCCTGTTTCACAAGGACACTCTTCAAATTCCCTCCTCCCTTCTGCATAAACAACACATGCCAGTTTGCCTCGGCTTTCCTACCTGGAAATATGTGTGTCTAGAGGATTTGAAAACACTGCAGGAGTGTGAGGTCATTAAAACTTGAACTCTTGTCTTTTTCAGTCAGATGTAATGTAGAAATTCATTCCGAATGCCCTGCTTGAGAAGTGGCAGAAGCCCTCCACAGTTCTCGGGCACTCTGGTTTCTGTTGTATTTCCCTCTGAACCAAAGGTTTCTCTACCCCCTTGTCTATCTAATTTTGAGCCCCTCCAGTATTGTTTGTGTTGTTTTTTTGTTTTAGCAACAACTAACCCCAGATCATGTTTTTTCTGATGTGTTTGCCATAGATTAGGCATACATCAGCTGATCTAGTAAGTGTCATTTATACATGTGTTTTATACACATACATGTGTGTGTGTGTGCATGCATGCACTCAGGTACTTGTGTGTGTCTTTCTCAGGCTGCTGTGAACGGTGAAGCTCTCAGAAAACATTTTATATTGCAGCTGACGTGAGTTGACATTTTTGATCCAGTAACTGGAAACATTTAATATGTTTCCTTTCTAGATAAAGCTGTGCACTTTCCAGGGGGGATATGGTTGGCTGCTGTATATATATATATAAATAGCAGAATTCTAAATTCAGAAGTATTTATTTTGAGATTTTTAGCCAGAAACAGTTTTGTGGTCACTTTAAGTAGCTCAGCTTAACTTAGAGTCAGGATTATGAACTCTTGATAAAAGCAAGGTTAAATTAAGAAGGGAAAAATACAACTTTTAAGGAGGGGAAAAAAAAAGTAGCTATTGTAGTTATATTGGAAAAGCAGGTGGCAATATATGTAGAATAATACAGTCAGGGAAGACAGATGACTTGTTCTGACCCTGACAGTGACATCTGCTCTCTCTTTTAGGTACTGGCTGATGAGTTTAGCCGGTACATTTTGTCTGTATGACATTGGTTGTGCGTGAAGCATGATGAGCAGCTGAGGCAGGCTGTGTTGGACTGTCCTGGGCAGTTATCAGAATTGAACAGAAACAGGATAGGAAAGAATAAGAGACTAAAAAGATAATATGTTTGTGCACTTGAAATACCCTGTTTCTTGGTACGAGACTTCATCCCCTATGAACTACTGGGATGTAGCCCAGGACCAGCAAGGTTCATGTTATCAGCAAGAAGTTGTATTTTAAACAGCAATTTTACAACCTGCTAGCTGCTGCTCATTTTCATCAAGTGTGATGGCATCAGCAAAGCATCACAGCTGCTTCTGAGTAAAACACAGTAAGCAACTTGAATAGCTCCTTAGGACAGGAACTGAAAAAAACATCTGTCTGAATGAAATTAATGCAAGTCCATCATGGAGACTGAATCTAATGAAACCAATGGGAATTTGGTCAGATTTCAGGCCAAGTGAGTCTGGCTAACTCACATTTTCAAGAATGATTTATGCCACTGTTACCTTAATCTTTTTGCCATATGGGAAGTTGGGGCTGCTTCCGATTGCCTAAGTACTTTCTTTAGAAGCAATCTGCCCACGTAAGTGACTCAGGTTTGCAGTGCTGGATGGAGCTGCACTGAGATGCTCCAAAGACATGAATGTCTGCCTGTCTGTGGAGATTTATACAAACCACGCTGAATGAGTGTATGTGTGTGCTTGTTGCCACAGGAAAGGCTCAGTAAACAACTGCTCACTGCTTTGTGTCCTCATTCTGCCATGGAGGTTAGTCCACCACTACCTTGCAGGGCCACAAATGAAACACAAAAAGTAATGAAAGAAACTTTGTGCCTAATGCAATACATTTCTTATAAGGTAGAAAGGAAGGTGGTCGTGCAGATCTGCTTTGTTTTAGAAAGGGGCAAATGCTGAAATGTTCAATAAGATTCTTTTTCATCTGTTGGTAGTGAAGTGTCATTTGGAAGAAGATTGATCACTTTTTGAGGTGAAATTGGATGAATTAAAATAGTTCTTTTACTTAAAATGTTTACATTTATATATAAGTAGTAAATGGTCAAAAGCTAGTTTGTTTTTTGATGTTGCTCTTTATTTGCCTTTAAAAGATACATTAATAAATTAAAAGCACCTAGAAGTGACAGAAGTAGCAAGACATAAGCCCACAAGTACAATACAACACAATCTAAGAAGGTAAGCAAGAATGTCCCCAGGAAAAGCTAAAAGTGTTGTAAATAAAGCTTTCAGAATTGGCTGGTGACCAGAGAACATCACAGCTGGGACAGCCTCACTCTGTGGTGTCATTTTTCCTGCTGTTCAAGGGATAGCTCATGCTGCTGGACTGTTCGCCTCTTGCATCTGTTAGGCCCTGCTCATCAAGGCAAGTTTCTATCTTGCAAAGCATCTCAAAATGTCACACAGAGCAGGACATCTCCCCAATTTTTGGTGCCTGTGAATTTAATGACTGTACCCAGAGCAGTGCTGCATCTCTGCCAAACACAAGGAGGCACAAAGGCAACTTAACTGCAGTTTTTACTTTGGGCACTTCCCACTCAATTTGTACTCTGTCACATGGAGTCTGTGAAAATGACACTCGAAGAAAACGAGGGAAAGGGTTAGAAGCTGTTGGAAGCTCAGGATTATTTCTGTTGCAAATGTGGTAGCCACAGTTAGTGAGATGAGAATTATTGACTGTATTGTTTTATCCCAATGTTCAAAGCTATCACCTGGGGTAACTAAAGTAAAATATGCATTATCTGTCTGTCTGGTTTTCTCCCTACCCCTTCCAAATGTAATAGGGCTATGTAGGTTGACTCCTGCCTGCTCAGAAGTCATGATAAGATTATTAGACTAAAGAAAACTATTTAATTAAACCTACAGAGATAGCCCAAACCCTCAAATCACCTCAGTGATTAATGTAAAAGTACTATAGCAACTACAGTAGAGTAGCAGCAGCAGCAGTCATGCAGTCAGATTACATGCAGAAAAAGTAGTCAACAGCTGGAACTATTACCCCACAAAGGAGATATGAGAGATGCTTTTTTTTTTTCTTTCTGTTTCTCATTTCCTGCATAAAGAAATCCTGATTCTGACTGATTCCCTGTTCAGTCACTGGGTCAGAACCTCAGCTCTGTAGATCAGTGTGGCATCAGAGGGTCATGACAGGTTATGTCAATGAAACAGCAGGTCTTATGCCTGTATATTCATTTTACTGAAGAAATATTAATAAATGTAATATAGAGATTTCCTGATTTTACATGTCAAAAACATGTTACAGACATCTAATTGTTTCATTAAAGGGTCTAGGAATAGCTAGTTTAAAAATTAATTTGCTTAATGTTTCCAGCTGGGGTTTTCAAAAGAGCTTAGGGCACTTCAGTCTGCAAGTCGCACTGGAAGTCAGGGACAGACTTTGATTTCCGATTTCCTGAGGGTCCTTCATAAATCCCATGTTCAGGAGTTCATAGAGGGCAAAGCAGTCAGCAATGGAAGAGGCCAATAAGGAGTAAACATTGATAGGAAAGCCATGCTATTATGTTTATCAGGAAGGTTGAGTAGAGCCAAGAGGTTTAGTTTCCCTGGGCAGCTGCCAGTCCAAACTGACATTTCCTCTCATCTCTCAGCATGTGGCCTTGTGCTTCAAAAAACTTCTTCCGACCAAGTGTGCAAGCACAGGAGCCATAAGGAGTTTCCACTGGAACCAAAACCTGAGGGGGATGAGCACAAACACAAAGGTTATGTTTGAGACAGAGGTATGCCAGCAGAAAGTCCGGCTATTCATCTCCTTATTAAAATCATGCCCAGACCTTTTCTCCCTCTTAGGAACATCAGTGGTAGATGCTGACATTATCACAAGTAAAAGTGGATCTATAATGTCCACCTGAAGGAGGGGAAAGACAGGAGACCACAGTAGCAGAATCCCAAGACTTTGGAGGAAGACTAGAGCATAAAAAGACTATAGACCATTGATGTCAATGGAATAATCCAGTTTTTCTCTTTCATGTGAGGGTAACATAACAGACTTTCAGCTGGACCTAGCTGGCAGCTAGAGCAGCTGTGGAGGGAGGAGCAAATACACCTCACCCCCTTCCTCTTGCCCCTTGCCTGATCCCAGGCTTGTATCTCATCCACTGTTGGACCAATCAGGGATGCCACAGTGCATTCTGCTTGGGTAAAATGCATAGGTTGACATTATAATTGAGAGTGAAATTCAGTGGAGAAAATAGGAATAATTTTTCAGAGACAGTCTCTGTTACAGATCCTTTTGATGTCCAGAGTATTCCACTTGACCTTTAGCTTTTGTCAATAACACAAAAAGACAATTATTTATTCTCCTTTTGTAGTCAGTTTAAGTCTTTTTTAGAGGTAATGTGGAGCTTTTACTGGGACTGGGAGAAAGTTTGCTCACTTTAACTGTGTTTTATGTAGAACTGCTGCTATCCTTTGAGGCTGAGTATTTCTAAAGAGGGCAGTCAAGTTGTATTTGAAGCATTTACTTACTTCTTTGTCATTGGTCAAGCCTAGATTCTTCATGTCTACAATGTTATAAAAAGTGTTGTTCAAGACGACTTCTATGACCTGTACCTGAAACCATGAAAATGGATGAGACAATGAATTAGGGCACCTTTTCAGTCAACAGCCTGGCAGGCTTTTCACTCTGTGTAAAAAAGAACAATGCCACGCCCCGAATACAGTTGATCAAATGCAATCTAGTGAACATGTGTGGCACACCTTTCACTTTTATTCAAGTGCTGCCAAAAGCTGAGTGATGTTCTCCCCCACTGTGTTCCCAGGCTGGGGAGTTTCCAGTCTTAGAACCGATTAATTCCAGTGGTGCAATTAACATTCACTATTGTTGAAGTAAAACATCGTTAGGAGGAAAGAAGATACCTGTGGCACTCTGGAAAGGACATGCATCTGGATAGAGTTGACAGTTTTCTGGTAAGAGGGTGAATATTCCCCACAGTCAGGTGGTCCAGCAAAGGCTTCAAGGATACATTCACGGATTTTCTTCCTAGAGGTAACACAGGTTCTTACAAAACTTTGTATCAGCTGTCTCTGCTTAGATCTGTAATGCTCTGCTGTGGGGTAGTTTTTGTTTATGTTTTGCATGTCTTTTCTGACAAATATATAGCCCATGGGATTTTATGGAAGAACAAGTTGTCCTTTCACCCAAATTCTGTTTCCTCTCCCTACCCCTGCCAGATATATAATTCACAAAAAGGTTTTGTTAAAACTATTTAACAAAATAGTTATTTTATTCTACTAAAGTGTTCTGTACTGAACACTGAACTGTTCATTTGAATCCTGTCCAATGATGAACCCTTAGAGAGAGAAGTACCCCTAAGACATGCCTCTCAACCCTCGTAACAAGAGCTTATTGCTGTCACTGAGACCTGTGAGTGGCTGGTGCACAGCAGCTGTGGATCCCTTAGACCTTCAGTGTGGTATAGAGGGACTTTGTGAGTATAGACTGGGAAATTAATACTACTTGATATAACATATACCATATGCAGTTAAAGTCAAAATCCTTGCATTCGCCATATGACCATTTGCAGAAGAACTCTCCACACAGAATCCTGTCATGTCTTTCAGGAAGTGTGGTGTGTTCATTCTTATAGAAGCCTTCAAATCCAGACTGTGTTGTCTTCATAAGTTTCAGGTCCTTAATTCCAGCAAAGACAACCAGAGGACCTGTGATTGAAAATTACAAGAAAATATGAGCTTCTTTTCACACAAAGAAATAAGCCTTTGGGTGCGTACTTGCATTAACAGCTCCAGTGCCAGAAAGCAGACAATAACTTTCTGCAAACTAATATTGACAGAAAGGTAAGAAACAAGATGGAACTACTGAAGTCAGGCTCAGTCTAGAAAATGGAGAATCCCATCAAGTGAACTGCAGTTAAGGAGAACTGAGGATAGACTTCTTTATCTTGCTTGGAATTGGGATGTGTTGGGTTGGCTTGTGCTGATGTCAATTTAGGAATGGCTCTAAAGGGAAATGAAATAGGCTACCAGTGATGGTGCCTTTTCCAAGAACACAGACAAATGTAAAAATTCTCTGTATAAAGACAGAGCCTCAGTCAGTAATTTGCTTTAGATACCTATCCTGTTGGGAGTTTTGCATCTCTGAGAATGAGAGCCAGGAGCCAGTGCAAATCCCTGCAGTTCAGCTAATGAGCAGGAACTGGCACTGATACAGATGCCACCCACAGGTTCAAACTGACAGTGGCTTTGCTCTTAGCCACTATTTATAAAATGAGCTGTCGAGGATCGCTGCTGCATGGGTGGATCATTGTCTTCTAAACACCAAGCAGTTGTGACCTGAACTTTTTCTGCTGACACCTTTTGAACGGCAGCTATTTCAATTTCAAGCAGTCAGTCATTTAGAGCACACCAAGATGGTAACTGAAAATTTCACTGACCAGACCTACCAAAAAACTTATTCAGATAAGAGAAACTTCATGGCATGCAGGCTCATTCAGGGCCTGTACAGATAGTCAGGGGCTGAAGTCCAAGCTGCTGGTTTTGTGCTGCTCTTGGTGCTCACACTAGCTAGTTCAAAATTCATCCTTGAATATGTCAAATGCATAGTAATCCTGCCTTGGACTTGGAGGACTCACAAATTTTGTCTTTAAATGATGTCTTTGAAGGAATTTATACTGGAAATAATTCCACCATGGTAGGCATTTTCTATATTGCATAGTTGTTTAGATGTTTGGGTGTTTTTAAACTGCTCTGTGAGTGGATATTACTGACACTGTATCTTATCTATTTCTTTCCTTACTTACATTCATTATTGGTTTTGAATCAATCTAAGGAGGTGTATCTATCATTTTGCCTATGTCCCCCCATTATTTACTAAAGCTGTAAAAATATCTAAAAAAGGGACTGACCTTGGACAGGATATTTTAGGGTTTGTACAGATCTTGAATAATTCATCACTTGGGTATAAGGCTGTGACACTGTGACAGTGTAGTGCAGGTACTATCAGTGAACCTGGAGAGATATTTATCCTATATTGAAATACTTAGCCTTATTTGAAAGAGCTCCTTGCAACAAAAGATTGACTGAAAGGCTGGCTGATTCTGCAGCAATCAGCCTGAAACTTGCTCCAAAGGAGACAGCACCCAGGGAGAGTTTCCAGGGTGAACAGCTCATGCTGTGCTTTCAGGAGGCTTTGTGCTCCTGCTGTCTTCAGTTGACAAATTTTGATTCTGTTAAGTTACTTACAATGTTTTGAGTTTCCAAAAAACTCTGAGCCTTTTATCAGCTGATACAGTGGCAAAACATAATTCTATTAAACCTCACTAGGGTTTTTCTTCATTATAAGAAAATTATTAAACAATAGGATTAACTGAGAAATGAACTCCCATGTCTGGCTGATAGGTGCATAGGAGGATGCTAAATATAGAGAACATTCTCTTAGAAGAAAAATAAAAGTGATTTGAAAATCATCACTTTGGTTATTGTTCACCTAGGCAGGGAATTCTAAAGAAACAACTAAAGGGCTACATGAAGGGAAGTCTTAAGAAGGAAAGGTGGTTTCTTCAGTAAGCCATAAAAGCTTTCTGTTTGTGTAGAATCTGAAGTTGCAGAATTGCTTGTTAAATTTTCATGATGATGAAAAATGTAATACAATCTGCATTAAGAGCACCAGCTTTTCAAAAATGTATAGACTCTTTTTGTTTATTTTTTTTTAAATTCAGGTGTCTTTTTTAACATTTTCCAGAAAATAGAGTCAATACTATTGAGGCTGCCAAAAGCACAGCAGTAGTTAACAATACTAGAAACATTAAAAAAGATGGGGCCAAAAGGCACTGGAGACTTGTACAGGCTTTCTGTGTTCTTTCAGCAGGAACACAGGAACAGTGCTCAGAAGGACCTTTCAAAACTTGTGTCCTGTCTGCAAGTGAAACTGGTCTTGCCACTGGTTCTGGATAGGATGGGGAATAGTTCTAAGTTACGTTAATGTAGTATAGACAGGTACTGAACTAATGCCCAAGCCCTCTAAATCCATTATGTGAAATGATACAGTGGTCTCAGCTCGGCTCCCAGTAATCCAGGAGATGAGTTAAACAAAACATCACAGTGAGACTTAACTTGGGCTTTTGTTGCAAGCTATAGCAAGCAGAGATAATTTTTACACTCCCTTTGGAATGCCAATTCATGGACAGACAGCTGAGCTTGAAAGCCTGTCTTTTAAGTATCACAAAACTCTTGGTCAAGCCAAATACTGCTTTGTTTATGCATGGTGTGCAAAAATGGTAAGCACACTGAAGGATTTTCATGTGAAAGATGGTTCACATATAGACCAGACTGCTCACCATGTTCAAGCTAATCTGGCTTGCAGCAATGAAACTGTTTTCTTAGAAAGAAAATCAGGGCGTGTTGACAGGAGTTTGAAAATTACTGCAAACCAGGCAATTGGCCTGCAGCAGTGTGGTATCAGGTAAGGATCATAGGAGACCACAGGTTGTAGTATAAGGTAGAAAAGTAAGCAGCCTGTTCTCAGAAGGCTGTTAAATCCTGTGGCAAGATGTAACAGTTCTGCTGGATGTGCTGTTGTAACCATTCCATGTTTGGGATATACATACAAATGTGAGCTACGTTAGTTCTTCAGCCATGTCTCAGAGACCAAGAATGTCAAAATTACGCTATAAAAATCTTCTTTGGTTTAGACCTCTGGAGCAGTTTGGCTGTGCCCTAAGCCCTGTAACAGCCATAGCTATCTCTAAAGCCATCTTCATCTCTCATTGGCAGAAATATTTACAGAGAAGTAGGGGATGCTGCCAATTCTTTTCTCACCATTCCGGCACTGCTCAGCTTCACAAAAGCGGATCCCATCAGGAACACATATGAATGAGTGAATGTGGGGAACGCCATCCTGCAATTTAGAGCAGACATGTAAGTAAAAGTGCCATAAATATTATTATGTTATTTTGAAAACAGGAGCTAAGAGAATGAGGAATGACTACAGCATAAACAAATGGAATGTATTAGAATTTTAGATACCTCATGCAGACGTTGCCATGGTACTTCTTGAATGTAGGTTTTGACGTACACCACTTGGCAAAATGTTGTCATGAAGTGATTGCAGATATCTATAGCAAATTGTTCTAAACTTGGGATCTAAGGCAGCAAACAGTATTATTAGAAAGAAGCAATTACCTCATGTACAAAAGTAGATTTTTCTGGTTGTTGTAAGTATTTGGGAAGAATCAGTGTGGTTAAAAACACATTTCTCTTATTTCTAGCTTGGCTCACTGTGCCCAGTCATTTGACCAGCTTGCAGTATATGCTGCAAATAGCAGATGTAGTTGTTTCAAAAATCTTCCATTCTGTGGTACAGTGAGCTGCAGTTCTTGGACTGACAGAAACTACTGCAGGAGTCTTATGCTTTGAGGATATAATGCTGAAATAATAATTTATCACTATTATTCTGATTGATATGGTGATATTCTAATTAAGTTTTACAGGGTAAAGAAGGGATTTCATTATGGAGAAATTTAGTGCTACAGATTGTCATTATGATACATGCAATTGATGGCAGTAAGAGCACAGAAGAATTAAAAGGCGTCTCATATTTTGAGACCTTTTGTTTAAAAATACTGTATAGGAATAATGTAGGATTACAGGCTATTAATTTTTTTTTTTTTAAAATATGGCTTTTATATGACAAATCCACAAAAACAGTGGTAGCCCTTGAGAAAAAAAGCTTTGGAAAACAGAGTCCACAGGACAAGCAGTGGAGGAGGAAAACTAAAATCACTGAAAATTACTTTGGTACTGATCTGATATGCAAATTGAAAATAAAAAGTTAGTATAACAAATACTTCCAAATGAAGTTGTAAGAAACAGCAAGGCTAGTTAAAAAAATTTAAAAATACCCCATTTTTTTTGCCCAACACGAGGACAATATTCTTTATGGTGTCTGTAGGTATCACAAGAGAATTGTTTCCTTCCAGGTACTCCTGAGGAGAAGTCAGCCGGAGATGCACACACACTTCCACTTCTTTAACAAACTCCTTCTTTCCCTCTTTATGAAGGCGAAGGAACTTAATTGTATTCTTGCCATATTCACAGTTGAGGACTTCAAGGTCGTTGATCTGCAAAGAAAACACATGGCAGTAGTAAAGAAATGCAGTGGAAGCCTGAGTTATGCTGTCATGAAACAATGTCAGTGAAACATAAACAGTGCTTATGGCCTTTATTTTTGTAGTTACCTATGATAATGAGAATATTTTCATTATAAATTCCAGAGTCCTGACAGGAAGAAAAAATGCTTTAGGAGACTATTATTGTATTAGTAGAAGCTGTGATAAAATTTTAAAATTTTTTGGGGGACAGATTATAGAACACAGTCACAGTGAACTAATCTCCCATTTGTCATCTGTGAATTAGTCCTGACTGTCACTTCACTGAGTCTCTTCTCTGGGATCATTGGTTTTCTTTGCATTAAGCCCTATTATTAAGTTTTACCCTGCTTCTGTCAAACACACCCCATTTACACATCTCTTACAGTGTTGGAGAGGCTGTACTAGCAAGGTGACAACATTCTGCAAAAGTTGTGAGGATTTCTGATGTGCTAAAATATCCAGAGCTCATTGTACTAGACTTTCCATGAGGCTGAAATAGCCCATACTCCGTATCAACAACTTTTGATGTAAATCAGCCCCTTTTCATGTAGACATAATGAGGATGGAGAAAGAGCATTTTCCACACCAAAGTATAAATTGAAGCTTTTTATGTGTGAGTTGCTAAAAGATTATCAGATGTGAAATCGCTCCATTCAGACATGTTTGTTCCTAAGAGAAATGTTAATGCACTTTAAAAATAGTTGAAAAAAGCATTAGCTATTTGTAAGTAAATTCATTTGGTTCAGAGATCAGAGCGTTTCTCCGGCTCAGTCCGTACGGGCTCCATTCCCGGGGGTGGCTGGAGGTGCCCGGAGTGACTGGAGGTGCCCAGCGCCGGAGCCGGCATCGGGCGGGGCTCTGCCCGGGACCCCTCTGCGGGCGCGGAGCGAGGGCTGGGCGGAGGAGTAGTGAGCTGGGGATGACGTTGTTTTGCTTGTCTGAACACCAGGGGTTTTTTTCAGATAGTTGTGAAAAATTTGTACGTCAGTCATGGAGAACTGAAAAGAAAACAAAAAGGGTTTCGGTATCTGCAGGTTGGAGCTTTTTTTAAAGCAGAATACCGTGAATATTGTAAATAGTCAAAATATTTTTTTTCTGTTTTTTGTCAAAAACATAGCTTGTCAACTGTCATTTTGTTGCCCAAAGAAATGGTGAGCAGTTTCCGGCGGCTCCCAGGAGCCTTGCCCCGCTGTCCGTGGCCGTGCCTGCTGTGCTGCCCGGTTTCCCAGGCCGGCTGCGCCGTGCCGGGTGCGCTCCCTGCTCCGTGGGCAGGAGCTGACAGCTCTCGCGGCACAACTTCTCCTTTCAGAGCCACTCGGGGCTCGCCCTGCGCAGCCGGGAAACCAAAATGCCGGCGGGATCTGCTTGGTGGCACCCGGCTCTGCTCTTAGCTCTCTCCTGCGTGCCCCTGTGGGCCGCTGAGATTTCCTGCAGGAATGAAGACGGGGAGACGGTGGATTGGTGAGTAAATACCGTTCAGGGGAGAAAGGCTGGGAAAGTAAATAAATACATTGAGATTAAACCGCGGGAAGGGGGTGGGTCACCGAGGAGCAATGCGAAGGCAATCGCTGGCTCACTGCTGTTGGCATGCGAGTGGTGGCGGAATGCTGCGTTTGAAAAACCTAGGATAAGTCACTGAAATCTGATTTCATTTCCCTCGACCAACCACCGTGCAGCATCATGACTAACTGCAGAACAATCAAATAATGACGGTTTTACACAGCGTTCATGTCTCACGATCAAAGGGAACATAACGTGTGTTGCGGAGCCAAGGCTGCGCTCGCCAGCGGCAGCCCCGGGGGCCCGGCCCGGCCCGGCCCGGCTCGGCTCGGCTGGCCCGGGAGCCACCGGGCGGGGAAGGGACCCGCGTGTCCCCTTCGGCTGGCTCTGAACAGCCGCGGGGCCCTCGGCCCCTTGCTGGGGGACCCTGGGGGGCACGGAGCGCCGGCGGCAGCAGCGTGGCCCAGCGCCTGTGCCCTGCCACTGGAGCAGAAGTCGCTCCGTGCCCGAAGCTGCCGTCACGGTAGCGCCGGTGCCATCCCACTGCCAGCTGGGAGCCCAGCTTCGGGTGTTAAATGATTAATTGGATTAATGAGCTTTCAAGATGAAAAGATGTACAATTGAATAATATCCAGCCCAGATCTTAAAAGTTAAATGAGGGCTCTTTAAAAAGAGCTTCCTGAAGATAAATATCAACCAAATTTAAAAGAAAAATGTCTTTCTTGTGAACAACGATTAGTTTGGATACAAGTGCTAAAGAAGTAGGCCCATCCCTTTCCTTGTACACAGAGCTGAGTGCAGGGAAAGCGGGTGCTCCTCGCGCCACAGGCAGGAGCACAAAGCTGGCTTTGCTCTCTGCAGACACAGCATCAAATGTATGAGGGTCTAATCCATCCCTATGACGTCACCTTTGCCAAGGCCCTTCTGGATAATGTAATTTTTTCAGGAATAATACTCTTAGTTGGTGCGGCTACCCAGGAACTTAAAGGTATGAGATATTTTATTTCTCTCTAAACTGGATTTGTTCCTTGCAGAATGAAGTTTTTCATGAAAAACAAATGAACACAAGAACCCAAACAAACAAAACCCACAGACCAATATATATACAAACTATCAATTTCTTAGATGAAGACAATTTTTGTATTAAAATTTTCTGAGAAACTCTTTGAAGGCTGGGGCTAGGAGTAATTCACCTGTGCCTCAATGCCAATGCCAGTGACATGGGGCCTGTTCCAGGAGGGAACTTGGGGTTCTGCACAGGCAAATCCATTCCCTTTCACAAATTTAGCAGGTAGGACAGGGGGATTACCTTTTCAATATGCCCTGATCAAAAGAAGAGAAACTTGTCTGTCTGCTGGAGTCATTCTGGTTTACTAAAAAGAGTCAGCCTTTGGATTCTGGATTTGGTTGCTATGAAACTGACAGGAGAAGCAGAACTGAAACTGCTGAGAAGAGCCTTCTCTTAAACAAAAGATGTCAATGTCCTTTTAAACAAACAACACTGCGTTGTTTTCAGCTAGCAGCAGGTTTGTGTGAGTTCCTGCTATGCGGTGGTTTCATCCTGCAGTGTTCCATAACTGCTCAATATTCACACACCTTTCACTTGCCGCTGAACCAGAGGGATCAGTTGCTTTATCTGCCCTGATCCCATCTGTGCTCCCCAGCTGGGCTGGCAGCTCCTCCCCGCACGCAGGACCTGCGCGGGCAGAATCTCTCCTGTTCTCATTTCTCTCGGGATCTCGTCCCGCAATCCTCGCTTCAGCTCCCACAGGGGCCGCCAGAGCACATGGCCGTAGGAGCGGCTCTCTGAGGAGGGCAGAGCCTTTCTTTTATTCATCTAAACTCAGTGTTTGCTGTGGGAAGCCTTCCCTGTAAAGAAAAGCCAGCACTATGCTTCCTGAGAAATGCTGAGTCAAGGACTGAAGCCACCATGCACATTGTTTGGCTTTTTTTAAGGGGGCGGGGAGGAAGGGAAGAAGCAAAGATGTGATTCTTGCTTGTAAACTGTGTTCAGTCACGAGAAAACAATGTGACAGTGCTAATCCGGTCTAAGCGGATTTGCTCTTGGTTCTCAGGAAAATAGCTTTTACTCTGCTCCCACAAATGCCTAAGTTCTTGGGAAATTTCCTGTGCACAAATAGCACTAAAGATTTTATGCAACTTTAATTGGTAATACACTCAGCTGGCTTTCTGGAAAGAGCCAAAACATGTATCTACTGGGAATTGGCAGGCAATTTCCTGATAGCTCAATGACTAGCATTTCATAAGCATATCTGCCTAGGTGGATTTGTCAGATGTAAGGCTGTAAACACTTCCAGAGCATAAACCTTTCAGTACAAAGTAGTGTGGAAAGGCTTCATCTACTAATTCCTGGCACAGCTCTTACTACTGTAACCACTGCTACTCCTCTCGTTTCCAAGTCTTCATTTCAAATCTTTATTTCAGATAAAGGGATTGTTTTGACTCCTTGTGCATGTATAGGCACAGACCACTCTCCCCAGCCTAGTTATATAAATCACTTTCTTCTCTGTGATCTGTCATCAGAAATTATTTCTCCTGAGATACTTTGAGGAGATCATTCAGTCAGTGGCAATGTAGGTGGATTAGCAGGACCACCACTGGTGTGTTTTTCTTCTGCCTGTACGTGTACATTTCCCATGGATTAAATGTTCTTCTCTAGTAAAATGTTTTCCTGCCCCTTTCTTACCTGTGTTTGGAGATGTCTTTTATGAGCAACTTGAGCCTCTAAGTCAGCTGGGCAAGGTTTACTCCTCCTGATATACTTGAGGGGTTAAGCACAGGCTGCATTTTTGTTAAATAGTATATATTGAAAATAATGCCACTCAGTCCTTACTGTTGACATTAATAGCAAATTACTCAATTACAGCTCTCAGAGAAAGTAGCTGAGTTAATTACATTGTGATTAATCCCATGGACTTGCACATTGGGAAAACTTGTTTACTTTGTCAGGAACTTTAGTATGAACTGAGCCATTTACTGACAGTATTGAGTACTTTACAGTTTTGAAGAGATTTGTATTCCTGGCTAATGGTTTGAAAATTTCCAGTCTGCAACAGTTCATCAGAGTGCAAGTCTGTTATAGAAAGTAGGATTGGAGCTATTTTATCACTTTGCTTTATATTTATTTTTATACATATAAGCATAATATAATGCATGTTTAAAATTTCAATACCTAATTTTATCTATTTCCTATAAAGCCATATTTATACAATATAGAAATTGTTTAACCTGGGGGAATGTTACACTGGGTTTGGGACCTGAGGTTCTTTAGCAGAACCAGGAGTGACAGGGATTTCATCGACTCAACCAAGGCTACCTCAAATTCTTCAGGGGTACCAAGAGCAGTCTGGGCACAGCAACAGGAGTTTGGTGCTGAATCAGCCTCCCTTGCTTGCTAAGAAGCAGCAGACATTTGTCTGCAGCAGGGACTGTGCTGCCAAACTGCAGCTGGTTCCAGGCTGGGTCATTGCCTTGGGGCTGAGATGGCCACACTGCTCCCCCTCCAGCCCAGGCATCCCTGGATTCACCCTCCTTTTTTTCTCAGGGAAGGAGATACTCATTTACACATTCATACAGGGTGGTGGTAAAAACCAGTTGTTCTTCACTGTTGCAGGTTTGCTCTTTACAAGCTGCCAAAGCATGCCAAAGGACAGATTCCCATGCTGGGACTGGAGTACCTGTACATGGATGCCCTGGCTCCGCAGTGGCAGCTTGGTAAATACCTCATCAACATGACCCAGAGTGCTCTGGGACAAACACTGCAGCAGCTGTATGAGACATACGAATCCAAGGCAAGTGA